TTTTTTAATTGATTTCCATGAATTCAACTTAAAAGCATGCGTTATTGCTGCTTCTTTCCCACATGAAATTCTAAATAAAGTGAGCCAGTTCCTCTTATTTTGCTTTTCTGTTAAATCAGCCACAACATAAACTATCATCTTTGGAGGTTTGTATTATAAGAAGAAGTAATTGCAGTTACAACTTATTTCAAACAAAGAAAGGAAAATTTATCATTCTGTAAGAAAAACAAGACAGCTTTCCCATTTTCTAATCACTTTTCATCGACATTCATCCAGAGATGGATTAGACAGCATGAGCCACATTAGTCTTTCAGATTCCCTGCTATATGCTCTGAATAACTTCATTCTAGTCCTGGAGTCATCAGTGTCATGGGGAGAGACCATTTGGGTCACGAAATATCCTTCAAGTTGACACTAGAGGCGATGAACACAGCGTGGAAATAGCTGGTTCCAGGGGAGTTATCTCAGAGTGCTCTGTAGAAAGCACTGAGTTCCTTCTCGGGTCATTCAGGGTAGCCATAAAATTTGGGTATTAAAAATAAATAAATAAACTGAAAGGCAAGGAAAAAGGAAACAAAGAAAGAAGGAAAAAAAAAAATAAAATAAAAAAAGGAGATGCAGCTTAGAAGCTTGCACATTTCATTGTGATAAAGACTCATTTGCCCCATATGTCAGATTTTACCCTATCTTTGGCATCCCTCCCTTCCCAACCCCTCATTCAAAGCACTGTGCTCTGCCATCCTGGCACCAGCCAGGAACCGATAAACATTCTTCCCTTCCCCAGTGCCCAGAAGCTCCTGGGCTATGTCAAGCCAGAGTAATGGTTCTGTCTCACTGAGTTACTGGCAGAGCATGCTCTGCTGCTTTCAGCTCCTATCTTGGCCCATTCCTGGCTGTCACCAAGGCACCAAGCCCTGGCCCAGCACCAGGGCCTTTTTCAGGCAGATTACCCAACCACCTCTTTCATTTTTATTCTTTTCTGTACGTAGCTCAGTTTTCCCCTATCTGCTAGGGCTGCTTAGACCCCTCAGCGTGGCTGGGGGACAGTGCCACCTGAAGCATGATCCAAGAGGCATTTCTGTATATGACTGAGATGCAATTAAAAACACTTATATATGGAGGGAAAGAAAGAAAAGAAGCTTTTCCCAGGAGCCTGGTAATGATTCTCATGCCAAGAGGGGAAGACTTTCATTAGTCTGCCAGCATACTTGCCAGAGCTCAGCCTGGCTGATGGCACTTAACCTGCTTAGTTCATAGAATCATGCAATCATTAATGTTGGAAAAGACCTCTAAGATCATCAGGTCCAACCAGTATTGCCCACTAAACCATGTCCCTCAGTGGCATATCTCCACGTTTCTTGAGTTCCTCCAGGAACACTGACTCCACCACTTCACTGGGTACCCTGTTCCAGTGCCTGACCTGAATCTTTTCAGATAAGATGTTTTTCCTCATATCCAAACTGAACCTCCCCTGGCACATCTTGAGGCCATTTCCTCTTGTCCTATCTCATCTTACTTCTTACAAATGCAGCCTTTCTGTACTACTGCAGGGACATGGTCATGTACACTGCTCTAGGGGATTCTGGTGCATGGTAGGACTTGATGATCCTTATGGATCCCTTCCAACTTGCGATATTCTATGATTCTATGGTAGTGGTTAGCTGATGCATCCCACCTTCACTCATGGCATTATGAGAAAATTCTCATTCATTTATGAGAAGTGAGAACTAAAGGCAAGCCTCCCCTCTCTATTTGGTGATCGCTTGAGATTCCACTTCATTTTCTTGCCTTCAGTTGGCTTTGAAATCAATAAACTTATCATCAGTCCATTACACTGATAAACCAGATAGGAACAACAGACCCAAGGACAGTCTGGCCCTGTCTCCTCTCCTCTTCAGAGTCAAAGTGACTTGGGAAAATTAAAGAACAGGGCAGTCATATAATGCAGCCTCAAGAAATCAACCTCATCCTCCAGTGATTAGTGCTGAAAGACCACAAGAAGCAGAATGCTGTCACTTCATTAAATCATTCAGGTTGGAAAGACCTCTAAGATCAAGTCCAACAGCTCTTGTGTTGGAAGAGATGATCACTACCATCAGTAGCCTGCTCCTACCATCAATAATGCCACAAAGTGTCATACCTCTAGCAGGTCCATCTTTCAGGGCTGAAAAGCCTGAAGCATCTATGACTCTTCTTCCTACAGAACACGCTCCATAACTTTGTTCATGTTTCACCCTCTTCGATTGCACTGTACCTTTTTTTTTGGTGGGGAAGAAGGTCTGTTGGGAAGTTCATGGAGTGCATATGATATAATCAAGGTGCTGAGTGAAGTTGTGCACTGTCACAATGATGTTTTCTCTTTCAATCTCTTTTCCTTTCCTTATGATTTCTATCATTAATCTTTTCTTAATAATTACCAATGTTTAATGCTTTTTTTTATCACTTCTGAGTCATTATTGCAACCCATATGTCTTATTCCTCAGTGACATATCCGATCAGAAGTCAACGTTGTCAATCTGAACTCATGAGTTATTCATTTTTTTCCTATTTCAGTTCCATATATGGATTTACAGCTGATCTGACTCCGTAGCTCATTCATTACAAAGGCTCTGTGGTTTGCTAATTGCATTCAGTCTATATGATGAGATCTGGATGCAGTGTGAAGATTCACACTGTGAAGGAGAGGCTAATGGTCAGGAGCATGGCAGGCATAGGGACTGTTAAAACAGAGTCTGGTTGGGAATAGAAGGACCTGATGCTGAAGGTGAATGTAAAAGTGCCATCAAAGAAAGGCTTTCATTTGAAAGAAAAGATGGAATTATTTATAAACTTTAGCATATGATCATTTGTGCTGCTCTCTTTTAAATAACACAGCAGTGGACGTCAGTAAGGCACTGAAACCATTATAGGAGAAAAAATATTTTTCACTGAGAAGAGCAACTGTGGCGAAGGTTTTTATTCCTCATCTTTTGGAAAACTTACAGTTTCATGTCAGTTTTTGCTCCATTTGTGCTTTTGTCTTTATGTTCACCACCTCACTGCATCTTTTCATGGCAGACTAATGGTCTGCAGAAACACCACAGGTAAAAATTTCACCTCAGGAAGGCTTGAATATGTCTCATTATAACACCCACAGAGATGAAAAGGTTTTAGGTTTTACTAACTGTAATTCTTACATGAGTTCCAAAATAAATAAAGGAATTAGTCTACAGTTGTATCATCTTTTCTGTCATATTGCTAGTAATCAGAATTGTACTATGGCATGGAATAAAGCAAGAATAACACAGGGCATAAGAGAACCTGTGTGTCATAAGGGTTAGTGCAAACCACAGCTGCAGAATTTAAAAACTGGTGTTTTGCATTCTTCTCAACAATAATTTTCCAAAATTTGATTAAAAAAAAGCCCTTTCTTTCAAAGCTCTTATAAAAAGTTATATTTTCTCCCCTTGCATTAAAACAATGATCATTTCAGAATGTTTTCACATCCCATTGGAGAGAGGACTTCTCCCTGAGCCTATCACTTATAGAATCACAGAATCTTTAAGGCTGGAAAGAGTACTAACACCATCAAGCCCAACCATCAACCCCTCCCCACCATGCCCACTAAACCATGTCCCCAAGTGCCCCATCTCCACATTTCTTCACCAGGGATGGTGATGCCACCACCTCCCAGGGCAGCCTGTTGCAATGCATTACCACACTTTCAGAGAAGATCCCTGCCAGGATGCAGGGGCAACTCCAAACACACCTTATATAATGGGTGAAAGTTTAGAAAAGGAGAAATTGTGGCTTGAGTGAGGTGATGAAAGCCAACCCTGTTGTGATGAAGATGCAGTGTCTTTCTCATTGTCATTGCAAATCACAGGCCACCTAAAAGCTCTTAGGGAGGAACAAATTCAAAATCCAAATCAGGTGGATTAGTGTGTATCAAATGGGCATTTAGGTTTCAAATGGGGCATCACTCATCTCTGTAGCATCCTACAGTGTAATCATAGTCTATGTGTGGCTTTATCTCCTCTCATCAATATATTCTGGTAACATTATCATCCTGGACTGCATGTGATCTCCATGCATGTCTCCTCATCTTATTCCCAGACTTCTTCCCTCCTTGTCACTCCCATGCATCTGCCATTCCTCCCACCCCTTCTGCCAGTCTCCACTTTCTTGTTGGCAGATGGCTCAAAAGAGCTCTGTTCTCCTGCCACGGGTAGTGGAAACGTTTTCTCACCCAGTATTGGAGTGTTTTGAGGGGATAATTAATAGTGAAAACCATCACTCTTGGTGGAGGGTGCCAGTTTAGTGTAACGGCTCATTTAAAATCGTTGCATGGACCCCCCTTCAAGAGTTCACCCATTTTACAGGGTCTTACGTAGTTGCAAACCAGCAGAAACATTGAAAGGCATTCCCAGGACTGATATCCATGGTGGGACACTAGCATAGGAGGGGACTAATAACAGTCAATATACCCTTGAAGGCTTTGTGTAGAGCTGACGGCAATGCTTTCAGCCTCAGAGCTGACATTACAACCCATCTAACAGCATGAGTTCACTGGCAAAGTAGCCAGCATACTGCAGTTCCATTGCCCATAAATAGCTGTGCTATGTAATGTACGTAAAAGGCAGTCAGTGTACATTCAAAGAGACCTCAACATAATCTGCATTTTCACACAGGGATTTCCTGTAGTAATAGAAAATGATGTTAAATTCTTGAAATTGTTTTCAGTTTTCCAGTGGATTTGTGAATGGCAAAACCCTTGGATGAAAGCTGAAGTATCTAGGTACTGTGCTAGAGACAGCAAAAGAAAAAAGCTTTTTTCTTCCTGAAAATAGACACCAAGTGAAATTTTCACTGAAATCGCACATTATCTTGGATGAGAAAGATTTACTTTGGTGTAAGAGTAAGGAAAGTGAAAAAATAGCATTTGTTGCATCTAACATTTATCTAACCTTTATTTCTCTCTTATTTTTTTTTCTTTCTTTTACACTTTCCTCCTCTCGCAGCAAGAAAAACAGCAAACACCAAACAAGAGACCCTGGGAAGGAATCAGGAAAGTCCAGTCCCCACCGTCATGGGTTAAAAAGGACATCGAACCTGTGGCACAATCTCCCCTAGAACTAAAAACTGTAGAGTGGGAGAAAACAGGGGCCACCATCCCTCTGGTGGGACAAGACATTATTGACCTTCAGACGGAGGTCTGAGCGGAAGGGGAAGAAAGGGACTTTTTTTTCCAGAAAACAAATGAAACAAACAAACAAAACCACGTTTTAAAGAAATGATTAAATTAAATCGGAACCGAGCGAGAGAAGTGTTTGGTTTCTTTTGAAACCTTTGGTAAGACGGAGTAACTTTTGTATTGTTCTCAGCAGAGTGGGGAAATATTGCTTTATAGAGTATAGTAGATGTAGGTTCAGGACAACACAAGCTTTGCCAGGTAGGACTGGAGAAGAAGTGAGCCTGGAAGAGAGCGAGGAGGAGGCAGAGGGTGGGGAGGAGCTGTTGGGGAAGAGCCCTGTCGAGATGCTTTGGGGCCACTGCCATACGCCAGGACCCTTCCTGCTGTGCCACGGAGAGCTGCAGAAGGACACCCAGAAACCACCACCATGAGCCAAGAAGATAGAGGTTGTCTGGGGAGCACAGGAGGTGACATCGGCGGGAGCCTCACCGAGATGCGTTGTGGCTGTAGGTCCTGGAAGAGACACAACCTATGGCATCCCTTGCTGGTCCTCATTTCCCACCTCTCCCTCATCATCTCATCTGAGAAGGAAGGAGCTGGGATCTGTCAAGCGGTGGCTGAGGAAACGTCCCCACTTCTTCATGCTATCACATGATCTGGTGTCCTGGCATCTCTGCAGCATATCCCTAAGGGGGTCGGGGGGAAGTGGTGGCGAGAGTCACATCACCTATGGCTTAGAGGGAGAGGTAAGGTGGGGCTTTCTCCTCTCAGCCCTTCATGGTGGAGCTCCTGTGCACCCTAAGGGATGGGATAAGCACTGGAGAAAGGAACCACCTCCAAAATCTGCTCGCCCAGTCTCCAGGGAAAAGGTTGAAGGTGTTAGAAAAACAGACCAACAAGAAGAATGTAGGTCATTTCACTGACTGTTACATAGATAAACTCAGCACGGGCCTTGCAAAGGTCTGCTTGGCCTCCTTTTTTTTTTTTTTTTTTTTTTTTTCCTGTTACTTTTCCTTCCTTTTGGACTCAGATTTGTTCCAAGCTGCTCCTCCCTGGAAGGCAGAGAGAGAAAGAGGGAAAGACAGATCCACCAATGTACCTGGAGATATTTGGTATACAGAGATGTTGCCTTAGGACATTGAGACAAACTGACAACACGAATAACGTCCACTTGGAAACAAACAAACAAACAAAAAAATAATCTATTTTTTTCCTTCTTCTTTTCTTTTCTTCAATAAAAAGAGAACTTGAAACCCGAGACCTTTCCTTTCTTTGGCTCTTGTCGTTTCGAATGCCTTTCTGTGCCGTACGAATACACAGGCATGGGGTGAGGATGCCACCTACTGAAGGTGGAAGGCAAGTTGCTGCATGATAAGTTTGGGATGGTGGGAACACGCAGCCCCATTGCTGCTCACTTGCAATACTTCGCTTTGCTTTATTCACTTTCAGTTGTGATTATTTTCCCTTCATTGGCTCTTCTCCTTCCCCAGTGCCCAGAGCAAACGGGCAGGTTTATACTCCTACCAGAACAAAAAGGTGGAGCTGGTCAGTAGAGTGGGACATTTTTCATCATAAAATGTTTTTTATTTCAATATTTAAAGAATAGCAATTTTTTTTTTCATTAGGCATTTCTCAGAGTTATTTACAAAAGGAGATAAAAGCTCTCTACATTTCACACCCAAAAGTGTTGTGCAATATTTTTAACCTTAAAAAACAAACCACTGACATTTCAAGAGGATTTTTATTTCTTTTATTTTTTCCTACCATTTCCAACAGTGTGATCCTTATGGCTCCCTTCCAACTTGGGATATTCTATGATTCTGTGACATTTGGAACAACTCTCCCAGCTTTGGAGACATGCTGTGGCAAACTTCTGCTTGTGAGCAGCCATATTGTTCCAGACAGCAGTAAAAGTTGATCAGGGTCTGCGTTGTTACAGTGTGTTTGAGTTTCTCCTTTTTTTATTATTTAACATTTTTAGGGCAAATGAATGAATACAAGAGGTGAACCAATCACTGACCCCAGCCTTGCTTCTCTCATTGAGAGACATTGCTTGACATCCAAACGTCTCTGCTTCCTCTTTCCATTGGGCCATGTGGGTTTTTGGTCTTAAAGGGCAGTGGCATCTACCTTGCCATTAAGTGTGTAACATACTGGATGAATGGAAAGAAAAACTAAAAAAAAACCCCACAAATCCAAACATTTTAAAAATAAAGAAAATTATTACTTATAAAGACTGTGATAGTATCATCCAATTTTAGATTATTCTATGAAACAGGAAAGCACAAAGGCCTCCCTCAGATGCTGGGTTGTATGATATTGTAATTATTATAGTTACACATAATGAATTTTAGCACACAGATATCTTTATACTGTGTTTTAAACCTTTTTTTTTTCTTTTTTTTTCCTCTCCTCCCATGCCCAACCAAACCTCCCCTTTTCTCCCCAGACCTTTCCCACTCACCCATTCACTCCAGCCGATTTGCAGGACATTAACGGTGTTATGTAATTACAGAGATAAATGTTTGTTTAATAACTGTTGATATTCGACTTTCTCTGCTCAATTCCTCCAGTTAATTCTGTTTTCCCTCACCCTGCCCTGCCCCATTCCATGCCTTCCCTTCCCTCCTATGTTTGTCAGTTTTTTTTTTCTGTACAGTTTTCAGAGCACAAAATGATTGTGTCTTATTTCTAATAAAAGAGGTGTAAACTCTAGCAATGTCTGCTTCTTAAAAGTGCCCCACGTGTGGTTTGCATCACACTCAGGTGCAAGGAAACACCTCTCCTGGACCTGCAAGCTGCTGCACTGGAAGAGCTATAATCTAGGACCAAACTTCTCCCTCTCAGATCCATTATTTGCCTTTAGCTTGTAGCTTCTTGGTACTCTAAAACCACCTTCCATCATTATGCATATTTCCAAGGCATGAAGACTTTTCTGTGCACCCCAGTCTGATTTTCCATGAGTATCTCTAAAAAAAGCCTTGCTGCCCTCTTCCCAGTGTATGTCAAAAGGGGCTGAAATGTATTACATTAGGCAGGATTATTTTCTGAGCAACCTGATCTAGCTGTAATTGTCCCTGTTCATTGCAGGGGAGTTGGACTAGGTGACCTTTAAGGGTCCTTTGGAACTTAAACAATTCTATGAGGCTATGAATGGCAGAAGGCAGCAATGCTGGCTTACAGTTTCCATTGGGGCCAGGGGGATGCTGATGCTCCCCTGCCCACATGATGCAAAGCTAACCCCAGTCTCACCCCGATGTCCCTTCCACCTCCATCACTTCCAGGAGCATGGTTCAGTGCATGAAGTAGTTGAGCAAATCACTCCTGAAAGACAACAATTAATGAGTTGAGCTAGAGATATTAAATTCCTTGGCATTTACCCTTGAATGGCTGAAATCCTCCAGCAGAAACATATTTGCTAGACTCTGCTCCTTCACCCGGAGTTTTACAGGTATAGGCTATAGGAATAGTCCTTTTAGTTTTATGGATAGGTCTGCAGGAGGCTTGGGGGTCAGCCAAATTTGATCCAACATTGCTGCTCTCCAGGACTTTGGTCCAGAGCCATCACAGCTCAGCATGTCCCCAGAAGTAATGGCTACTCTTGATCTCACTGGAACTAATTGGACCTCAGACCAATTCTCTGTGATGCATCCCTGCTGTGACACCTGCAGGTACGAGCAGATGACAGCATATGGTGCTTGGCATAACCCATCTCAACAATTGGTGTGTTCAGTCAAAATAAGAGGAGTCCATGGCTAGATCGGCTAAAACCTTTTAGTTTATACCAGCCCATGAGGGAAACCTGTTATTATTACTGTCCCTGTTCATTGTAGGGGAGTTTAACTACATGACCTTTAAAGGTCCCTTCCAAATGAAACAGTTCTGTGATTCTATGATGCTATTACTGCTATATGGAAATCTGTCATGCTAACTCTCCAAGTGGAGGAGCTCATCCTCCGGAGACCGTAAGTCTCCAATTGGAGCTTTAGAGGCCCACTGTGAGATATCCTGAAATATCTGAAATGTTGCTGAGATGTAGGTCTGCCTTGAGGGAATTATCCTAATCCCCCATCTCCTGAGCCATGATCCAGCTCATCTTCATCAGCAGCATGTGACAGCATGTCCTAAGTCTTCTCCATCCTTCCTGCCAGGAGTGTTCCTAGTCCCACATTTCCCATGCCATCAATGTATAAAATTAGCAGGCAGATTAAGGAAATACTAACCAAAGACACACTAAGGAGTCTTCATGGGACCCATATGGATGACCTCTCCTGGTGCTTGCTTGCTTGCTCAGAACTATTTTCATTCATGGTTATCCGAAAAGCCTTCTACGTATCTGAGTCTCAAAAATCCATCTTGCTTGCAAGCCCCATATGTAGACCAACTTCCTACCAAGTTCTGGAGCTAACTTATGAGTCGGACTTGGTAATCCCTATGGGTCTCTTCCAGCTTGGGATGCTCTATGATTGTATGACTCTGTGATGACATGGAAGAAAAATACAGTTCCTAAGCTGAGGCCATGAAGAACTTCATGTTGGATGGACAAAATAATTCTTTCTGGTCTTCCTTTAGGACACAGTGAAATAACATCAACTCACTGCTGACAGTATGCATGTAATGTTTTAGTAATGAACATCACTCATTACTCTGGCTCGTTAGCAAGATGAGTACCTATTACATCTGTAATACCAAGAAAGAGACCCAGGGGAATGAAGTAGTCAGCCTTAAGTCACTCATCAGCCTCTTTACTAATCCTCTCAAGAGAAGTCAACCATGCAACTGAGCTCCCTTCCTTCACTTCCTATTTGAAAATCAGCATCTCTTGACTCCTGCTGAGTATGTACAATCTCCTTTAATAGGGCTGAATCCTCACTACCACCGCTTCCCACTGATTCTAAAAGCCCTTAAAGTAAAAGGCCAAATTTGTAGAAATTTGAAGTAAATAACATGGCAAGCACAAGTTTTCTACTATGTAAATATGTAACTATTGGCAGCAGCAGTTGGGCAGGTGTTAAACACTTGTTTATTGCAGGACATCATCAAGTTATTTGGTTAATTAGTCAAGATCTCTGAAAAAATTAAGGTGCAGGCCTAAACATCGAAGTCAATGCAGGAGAGGGGCTGAAATTCCTTTTTCAGTGTGTCCTGAGCAGAGTCAGCAGTGACAGGCATTTTTCTGATTGGTACCAGAAATGCTTTAACATTTTGCACCTGCCTGAGTGTGTAAGTATATCCCTGCAACGAGAGTCACTGCCATGAACCACACAGTGGTCAAGGAGAAATATGTCATAAGTGGTACAAAGTGACAGTCTAACCCTAAACCTCTGACAAATGCACACCATATGCATGCAGATGTGTTCATATGCATTTCCATATATTAATTTCCATAGATATATTTTTGCACATACATTTCATATATACCCACAAATGCATGTCCCTCTATTTCATACACAGAACCAAACATACATGTAAATATGCACATCCGTTGCAGTACATTGAGGCAGGTTAAATACAGTGAATTTCTGCAGTCAAACTGACATTAGAAAGATGTTCAGCACCTAAGACATACTTGAAAAATGTGCTGACAGAACTCTGGATGGAGAACAGGAGTTAAGCAGGAAACAACAATTAGCTAGGGGAGCATTTTTTATATGTCTATTTGCAATGCTTTTTATTGTTGTTGATGATGATTCATTTATTTATTCATTTATTTTGTTAATTGGTGTAATCTGTTTTTCCTCTCTTCTGTTTATGATGAGGAAACTGATTTTTTCAACCAACAAGATCAAGTTCAATCAAGTTCAGCTTCAGCAAAAGCATGAGTGATTTTTTTACCTGATCCTACAGGGCTGGCTCATTTTTGCCTCCTGCAGGTGACTGTGACTGTGAATGAGCCGTTTAATTATAAACCCTGCAATTTGCTGCCCTCCTGCAGAGACTGTGACCAGCGTGAAAAGAAAAGAGCTCAGCTTACAGAGGTAAAAACCAAGTTTACATACGTATTTGGGGCAGCACCTCAGGATACAGCATGAGTTTTGCTGCAGAGCAGACACTAAAAGGAAATCTCTGAGACAGATGCTTCACTTCCAGTGTTGTCACAAGTTTTCTCACATCATTTTGTATAAATGAACTCGTTTTTCTACAGTTCACCTTCCTCAGTGTGCTGAGCACTGGTGATGGCACCTAACATGGCCTTATTTCCCATATGTCCAGCAGGTTTTGTAGTCCACGTGAAGTGGCCTGCTGTTACAGCTGACA